GGTTTTATATGTCTTTATTACATGGATCTCTGTAACAAACGAACTCTAACAATGATAATGAAAACTAAAACTTGAAACTGGGTAACTCAGTTGGTTAAACGTCCAACTCTTGATTTTGGCTTAGGTCATGATCTCCCAATTCCTGAAATCAAGCCCCCCACCTTGTCAGACTCTGTGCTGACAACATGGAGTCTGCTTGGGATTCTCTCTCTCCCTCTCTCTGCCCCTCCCCCCTTGCACTCCTTCTCAAAATAAGTAAACATTTTTTAAGAAATCTACTTAGGATGCAATGGACAAATTACTGCTAAAAGAAATGACCTCCTTGGTTTCTACTGTTTGTAAGCAACTTTTTTTCCTCCATAGATTCATATTTTCAATATCCAAAATGATCTGCCTTTCATGAGACTTTAATATTTCTCTACCGTTGACAACTGTCACCAAAAAGTGTGTTAAAACAAATCAATGATTTTATTGCTGAAGCAGATTTATATTATTTATCTTTGCTTTCCAAGCTTCTGCATGTCAAATGCATAATTTGCTTTGGGTTTAATGAAACTTCTTCTCAAATTGCATTTTACTAAGTCCCCAGAGAAAGCATAGAGGATAACACAGAATAAAGATTACAAGTGATCTCAAATATTTTCCTAGTTGAGCATATGAAATAGAGAGCACATTGAACATTCTAATTATTTGTATCATGGGATTTTAGTATCAGTTTGTAGCTTTTAGAATATATATGGCTTAGAGTTCTGATTTTAATATCATTGTTAATGGTTCTATTGGATAGATTTTTCTTTTATACTTTAATGATATAAAAATTATTTGCATTTTTATTGATATAACCCCTACAAATACATTTGTGTATACAACATAGTACGATCTTTGGACTGCTCCATAGAATCAAAACTAATACACAATAGATAGCTATATATAGCAATTAACACTGCATTATCACAAATGTAACTCATTTGATCCTCATAATTCAAGGTACTAAAACCATAAATGTTATGAATTGTTCCTTACCATGTTATATACAATGCATACTAGAATAAGAATACAAAGCCCTATCTTGGTTTTATTCTTAACTCTAAAGTCATCTAATATAAAATCTTTGGACAACTCATTTAACCTCTTTATATTTGAATTTTCTCACAATAAATTGGGAGGGTTGAATTAGATCAGTGGTTCTCATCACTGGCTCTACATTAGCATCACATAATGAGCTTTAAAAAAAAAAAAATTAGGGACATGCAGACCCCACCCAAAGGATTTTTAGAATAATTGATGCAGATTAAGGACCAAGCATTGAGATTTCTCAGATAATTTTAATGTGTAGCCTGACTTAAATATTGCTGAATTAGGTTTTCTCTAACATCCTTTGCAAGCTATAAGAATGAAGTCAAAATTGAATTTTGATGTATTCTGTTTTTCTTGACTTAGAGAATATTAAACTTTTTTTAACCACTTCTGAGGACAATAATATAGCATAGAAAAATATAAATTGTAAAATATATTTAAGGGAAACAAATATTTTATGCATAAATATATTTGCTTTTACCCTGTGAACTTTTATTTTTATTTTTTTTTTTATATTTACTTTTGAGTGAGAGAGAAAGCACTAACAAGGGAGGGGAAGAAAGAGAGGGAGACATGGAATCTGAAGCAGGCTCCAGGCTCTGAGCTGCCAGCAGAGAGCCCGACATGGGGCTCGAACCCACAAACTATGAGATCGTGACCTGAGCTAAAGTCAGACACCCAACAAACTGAGCCACCCAGGCGGCCCAGATTTATTTTTAATGGCTTTTGGATCTCAGGCTGTATCTATGCAGAGCTCATTACTTGAATAGTCCAACACTATACTGATCCATATCTGCATTGCAGCATCTGAAATACTTCCAGCAGCAGACATAAAACAATGTCTGATAGGTTAGAATACCTTGGTAGAGCCTTCATGAACCTGAATTCCTATGGTGTGTGAGGACTCATTTTGCCAATAGAGAAAACAACCTATGACTTTCAGTCAACATATACCTAAAACTTGATTTAGATACTTTTCTCATTAAATCAGATGTCAAGAATTGTTTCATCTATGAAAAATCTCTCATGAAGATATGTGAAAATACAAATATGTAAAATTTTTAAGCCTTCAAAGAAAACAAGCTACCTGCCTGAAATTTAACTGCTCAACCAACCAAGCCTTCATTTCTCAGTACTTATTTTCTGTTTGGTCCAAATCACTATTTTTGACAAAATAGAATCTTTATTAAGTGATCAGGTATTTTAATTAATTGATCAAATATATACTGTTTAAAGTAATAATAGTAATACTCTTGATGGGAAGAGGGACCAACATGGCAGAGAAGTAGAGGGATCAGAAGTTTCCTGGTCTCTCAAAGCAGTGTTGAAACTAAAGGACTTTGAACTGACAGTCCGGGAGGCAAAGAGACAGTTGCTTCCAGGGATCCACAGGGACAACCTGACAGGCAATAGGTTGTGAACTGGGAGAGAGAAAATGAACAGAGGGGAGGGATCCCCTTCTGTGGAGAGACAAAGGGAAGAGAAAGAGAAGCTGGAGAAGCATAGGACTGTATCCGGACAAGAGAAAAATCATGGATTGGGATAGAGGAAGATCCAATCTCTAACTGAGGGGCTTTCTCTGGACTTGGGCTGGCTGCCTGGATCACACACCTGGGGAGGAAGGGAGCCAGCCCTGAGCTGGGTGGCTAGGTTAGGGCTGTAGTTCACACCGTAGGAGAAAGCTATCCCCACCCTGGAATGCTGTGGGACAGGACAAAGCCTGCCTGCGTCTGGCAGCCAGAGACCATATATCGGGCAGCATGGAGCTGTACTCCCCCCACTACTAGGGCACACAGAACAGGAGTTTGAACCCCAGCCAAGCGCCAGGGCGTGGGAGTCCGTGGAGCAGGACAAAACGCTTCATTTGTGTCCACAGCACAGTGAGGACGGCTCAAACAGAGTGGTTTCAGATACCTGATCCATGGAGGAGAGACTGAGGTATCGCCAGTTTTCTCCCCACCACCACCAAAGTGGGGCTTCAGGAGTCAGACAGCCTGCCCACATTGGAGGCAGGACCGGCCTACACCAAACCACGCCCCTCCATGACTGGTAACTGAATCTACTAGAGCTGGACTGACACTGAGGAAACACACTGGCCCCTCCTCCAGACCAGCACAGCTGCATTGCCTGGTTTAATTCTTGGACAATTCTTATTATACAGCTATATTCCTTCCTTTCCCCCCTATCTCTTCCCTCCTCTATTCTGGTTACCCTAGTTGTTGGTTTGTTTAAGCAGACATATTTAATCCATTCTCTTGATACATGTTCCCCACCTCCCTTATTCTTTCTCTCTCTGGATTAAGCCATATGGTTTCTCAGTCCGGCCAATTTTTTTTCCCCCCCACCCTGTCGTTTCTCTCATTGTATGGGATAAGGCCTCTTCCATCAGCACCACCTCCATGCTGTTTACTTGTAGCTGTTGTTTCTTGTTTTTTGGGGTTTTTTGGGGGGTGAGGGGTGGGAGGATTTTTGTTTGTGTGTTTTGTTTCCTTTCCAGGGCTAATTCAAGGAACAAGTCAAAGCACACCTGGTGGAGGGTCCAAAACATCACTACCACTAGAAGATAAAAGAACCAAAGTCACAACAACAGAGCAAGTAACACTCTCCAAGAAACACCTCCTGAAGGGCCAGGCCCTAGACAGTGTATGATCCTCTTTAATATAGTAGTGCTCGCAAGTGTAGGGCACAGAACCAGGTTTTAAAACACATAAGGGACAGAAAAATAGCCAAAATGCTGAAACAGAAGAATTCCCCTCAAAAGAAATTTCAGGAGTAAATGATAGCTAAAGAATTGCTCAAAACAGATATAAACAATTGAACAAGAATTTAGAATAGTAACGAGATTAATTGCTGGACTTGAAAAAAAAAAAACACATAGAAGACAGCAGAAAATCTATTGCTGCAGAGATCATGGAACTACAAAAATAGTCGTGATGAATTAAGTTCTGTAAATGAGGTGCAAAATAATCTAGAGGTGGTGACGGCAAGTATTGAAGAGGCAGAGGTGAGAATAGGTGAAATAGAAGATAAAATTATGGGAAAAGAGGCTGAGGAAAAGATTTTTAAAAATTCTGGATCACGAGGGGAGAATTAGAGAACTAAGCGACTCAATGAAATGTAACCATATCCATATCATAGGAGTTCCAGAAGAACAAAGGGGCCGAAGGTGTACTTGAACAAATCATAGCTGAGAAGTTCCCCAATCTGGGAAAGGAAACAGACATTGAGATCCATGAGGCACATAGAACTCCCTTCAGATGTAACTTGATGTTCTACACAACATAGCATAGTGAAACTGGCAAAATAAAAAGATAAATAGAATTCTGAAAGCAGCTAGGGATAAATGGGCCTTAACCTACAAGGGTAGATACATAAGGGTACTAGTGGACCTACCTACTGAAACTTGGCAGGCCAGAAAGGAACGGCAGGAAATTTTCAAATATGCCACCAAGAATCCTTTATCCAGCGAGTCTGCCATTCAGAATAGGAGAGATAAAGGTTTTCCTAAACAAAAACTGAAAGAACTCATCACTAAACTAGACCTACAAGAGATCCTAAGGGGGACTCTGAGTATTACAAAGACCACAAAGGAGCAGAGATATCACTACAAGCATGAAATCTACAGATAACACAATGACTAAACCTGTATCAATAACACTGAATGTAAACGGACTAAAATGCTCCAATCAAAAGACACAGGGTACCAGAATGGATTAAAAAAAAAAAAAAAAAGACCCATCTATTTGCTGTCTACAAGAAACCCATTTTAAACCTGAGGATACCTTCAAATTGAAAATGAGGGGAAGGAGAACTATCATGCTACTGGAAGTGAAAAGAAAGCTGGAGTAGCCATACTTATATCAAACAAACTAGATTTTAAACTAAAGACTGTAACAAGAGATGAAGAAGGGGATTATATAATTATGGGGCCTATCAATCAAGAAGAGATAACAATTATAAATGTTCATGCACTGAATTCAGAAGCACCCAAATATATAAAACTAATCACAAACATAAGCTATCTTATTGGTAAAAATGTTCCACTATTCCACTATTAATATTCCACTTATAGCAATGGACAGATCTAGATAATCAATAAATAAACAGTGGTCCTGAATGATACAGTGGACCAGATGCACTTGACAGATAGATTTAGAACTTTTCATCCTAAAGCAGAGCATACATTCTTCTTGATCACACATGGAACATTCCCCAGGATAGATCACATACTGGGTCACAAAACAGCCCTCAATAAATAGAAAAGAATTGAGATTATACCATGCACACTTTCAGAACACAATGCTATGAAACTTGAAATCAAGCACAGGAAAAAGTTTGGGAAACCTCCAAATGCATGGAGTCAAAGAACAGACTACTAAAGAATGAATGGGTCACCAGGCAATTAAAGAAGAAATTTAAAAATGTATGGAAACAAATGAAAATTAAAACAACAATCCAACCCCTTTGGGATTCAGCAAAGATAGTCCTAAGAGGAAAATACATTGCAATCCAGGCCTACCTCAAGAAACAAGAAAAATCCCAAATACAAAAATCTAAGAGCACACTTAAAGGAACTAGAAGCAGAACAACAAAGACACCCCAAACCCAGAAGAGAAATAATAAAGATCAGAGAAGAAATAATATAGAATCCAAAAAACAGAACAGATCAATGAAATTAAGAGTTGGTTTTTTGAAAAAATAAACAAAATTGGTAAATTCCTAGTCAGACTTCTCAAAAATAGGATCCAAATAGGTAAAATCAAAAAGTAAAATGGATTTATCACAACCAATCCCTCAAATACAAGCAATTATCAGAATTCTATAAAAAATTATATGCCAACAAACTGGACAACCGGGAAGAAATGGACAAAGTCCTAGACACCCACACACTACCAAAACATAACAGGAAGAAATAGAAAACTTGAACAGACCCATAACCAGCAAAGGAATTGAATCAGTTATCAAAAATCTCCCAACAAATAAGAGTCCAGGACCAGATGGCTTCCCAGGGGAACTCTACCAGACATTTAAAGCAGAGATAATACCTATCCTTCTCAAGGTGTTCCAAAATATAGAAAGGGAAGGAAAACTTCCAGACTCATTCTATGAAGCCAGCATTACTTTGATTCCCAAACCAGACAGAGACCCAACAACAACAACAACAACAAAAAAAAAACAACTACAGGCCAATATCCCTGAGGAACAAGGATGCAAAAATTCTCAACAAGATACTGACAAATCAAATTCAACAGCATATTAAAAGAATTATTCACCATGATCAAGTGGGATTCATTCCTGGGCTGCAGGGCTGGTTCAATATTCACAAAGTCAAATCAATGTGATACATCACATTAATAAAGGAAAGGATAAGAACCATATGATCCTGTCAATAGATGCAGACAAAGTATGTGACAAAATACAACATCGTTTCTTAATAAAAACCCTCAAGAAAGTTGGGATAGAAGGAACATACTTAAACATCATAAAAGCCATATATGAAAAGCCCACATCTAATATCTTCAAAGGGGAAAAACTGAAAGCTTTCCCCCTGAGATCAGGAACACGACAGGGATATCCACTCTCACCACTGTGGTTTAACATAGTGTTGGAAGTCCTAGCATCAGCAATCAGACAACAAAATGAAATAAAAGGCATCCAAATTGCCAAAGAAGTGAAACTTTCACTTTTCACAGACACGGGATACTCTACATGGAAAACCCAAAAGGCTCCAACAAAAGACTCCTAGAACTGATACATAAATTCAGCAAAGTCACAGGATACAAAAATCAATGTACAGAAGTCAGTTGCATTTTTATACACCAATAATGAAGCAACAGAAAGAGATAAAGGAATTGATCCCATTTACAATTCACCATGAATCATAAAATACCTAGGAATAAACCTAACCAAAGATGTAAAAGACCTATATGCTGAAAACTATAGAAAGCTTATGAAGGAAATTGAAGAAGACACAAAAAAATGGAAAAGCATTCCATGCTAATGAATTGGAAGAATATTGTTAAAATGTCAATACTACCCAAAGCAATCTACACATTCAACGCAATCCCAATCAAAATCGCACCAGCATTCTTCTCGAAGCTAGAACAAGCAATCCTAAAATCTGTATGGAAGCACAAAAGACCCCAAATTGACAAAGTAATATTGAAGAAGAAAACCTACACAGGAGGCATCACAATCCCAGACTTTAGCCTCTGCTACAAAGCTGTAGTCATTAAGACACTATGGTATTGGCACAAAAACAGACACACAGAACAATGTAAGAGAGACTCCAGAACTGGACCACTAATGTATAGCCAACTAATCTTTGACAAAGCAGGAAAGAGCATCCAATGGAAAAAAAGAGTCTTTAGCAAATGGTGCTGGGGAAACTGGACAGCAATATGAAGAATGAAACTTAGACCACTTTCTTACACCATACACAAAATTAAACTCAAAATGGATGAAAGTCCTAAATGTGAGATAGGAAACCATTAAAACCCTAGAGGAGAAAGCAGGCAACAACCTCTTTGACCTCAGCTGCAGCAATTTCTTACTCGACACATCTCCCAAGGCAAGGGAACTAAAAGCAAAATGAACTATTGGGACCTCGTCAAGGTAAAAAGCTTCTGCACTGCAAGGGAAGCAATCAACAAAACTAAAAGGGAACCGATGGAATGGGAAAAGATATTTCCAAATGACATATCAGATAAAGGGCTAGTATCCAAAATCTATAAAGAACTTACCAAATTCCACACATGAAAAACAAATAATCCAGGAAAGAAATGAGAAGACATGAATAGACGTTTTTCCAAAGATGACATCCGGATGGCCAACAGACACATAAAATGATGCTCAACGTCACTCCTTATCAGGGAAATACATATCAAAGCCACACGGAAATACCACCTCACACCAGTCAGAGTGGCTAAAATGAACAAATCAGGAAACTACAGATGCTGGCGAGGATGTGGAGAAACGGGAACCCTCTTGTACTGTTGGTGGGAATGCAAACTGGTGCAGCCATTCTAGAAAACAGTGTGGAGTTTCCTCAAAAGATTAAAAATAGATCTACCCTATGACCCAGCAATAGCACTACTAGGAATTACCCAAAGGATACAGGAGTGCTGATGCATAAGTGTACATGTACCCCAATGTTTATAGCACCACTTTCGACAATAGCCAAATTATGGAAAGGACCTAAATGTCCATCAACTGATGAATGGATAAAGAAGATGTGGTTTATATATACAATGGAATACTACTTGGCAATGAGAAAGAATGAAATCCTGCCATTTGCAGTAATGTGGATGGAACTAGAAGGTATTATGCTGAGTGCAATAAGTCCGAGAAGGACAGATATTGTGTTTTCACTCATGTGGATCCTGAGAAACTTAACAGAAGACTATGGGGGAAGGGAAGGGGGAAAAAGTTACCAACAGAGAGGGAAGGGGCAAACCACAAGAGACTCAAATACAGAGAACAAACTGAGGGTGGATGGGGAGGTGGGGGAGAGGGGAAAATTAGTGATGGGCATTGAGGAGGGCACTTGTTGGGATGAGCACTAGGTGTTGTATGTAAACCAATTTGACAAGTTATATTCACAAAAAAGTAATACCCTTGATTGTAGTATGTATTTATATAAATGAAATGACAATATTTTAAGGGACTGACATTGAGAAGTTGCAAATAAGACAGCTGTACTCACAAAACACAGTGTTTGAAAGGGAATTTAAATTTTAAATGTTTATTGTAAAATATAAGGCAGCTATTTTTTTTCGTTATGTTTAATACACTTAGACAAATGAAATCATAAACTCAAACCTAGAAAAGACAGAAGAGAAAAACAAAAAGTATAATAGAAAGTCACACACTTAGTAAATTCACTAGATCAACAACTTTCAAGGTGAATGGTCCACATACACCAACTAAAAGATACTTACAAAGTTAATTTTTTAATGTTTATTATTTGTTTTGGGGAGTGATTTTTCTTACTTTTATTTATTTTTGTTCTCAAGTTAGTTAAACATACAGGGCAGTCTTGGTTTCAGGAGTAGAACCCAGTGATTGATCTCTTATATAGGATACCCAGTGTTCATCCTGCAAAGTGCCCTCCTTAATGCCAGTCACCCAATTAGCCCACCCCCATACCCACTCCCTCCATCAATGCTGTTTGTTCTCTGCATTTAGCAGTCTCTTATGATTTGGTTCCCTGGTTTTATCTTATTTTTCCTTCCTTTCCCCTATGTCATCTGTTAAGTTTCTCAAATTCCACATATGAGTGAAAACATGATATCTTTCTCTAACTGACCTATTTCGCTTAGCATAATTCCCCACCAGTTCCATTCACGTTGCTGCAAAAGCCAAGATTTCATTCCTCTTCATTGCCAAGTAGTAGTCCATTGTGTGTGTATACACACACATGCAGATATGTGTATACACACATATAGGTATATATATACACACACACACATGTTCTTAATCATTCATCAGTTGATGGACATTTGGGCTATTTCCATAATTTGGCTACTGTTAATATTGCTAGCTCCTCTAGGTGTAAGTTTAGGTTGTGTATTTTGAACCTTTCTTGCTTCTTGAGATAGGTTTCAATGGCCATGTATTTCCTCTTAAGACTGCCTTTGCTGCATCCCAAAAGATTTGAGCTGTTGTGTTTTCATTTACATTTGCTTCCATGTATTTTTTTTATTTCTTCTTTGATCTCCTGGTTAACCCGTTCATTCTTTAGTAGTAAGTTCTTAACCTCCATATCTTTGGGGGCTTTCCAAGTTTTTTCTTGTGGTTGATTTCAAGTTTCATAGCATTGTGACCTGAAACTATGCATGATATGATCTCAATCTTTTTGTACTTATTTGACAGCTGCTTTGTGACCCAGTATGTGATCTATTTTGGAAAATGTTCCACGTGCACTGGAAAAGAAGGTGTATCCTGCTGCTTTAGGATGAAAAGTTCTGAATATATCTGTTAAGTCCATCTGGTCCAACGGGTCATTCAGAGCCATTGTTTCCTTATTGATTTTCTGCCTAGATGATCTTTCCATTGTTGTAAGTGGAGTATTAAAGTCTCTTACAATTACAGTAGTATTTTCCCAAGTTTATGTTTGTGATTAGTTGATTTATGTATTTGGGTTATTCCACCTTGGGGGCATAAATATTTATAATTGTTAGCTCTTCTTGATGGATAGAGTCCTTATTTATGAAATAATGCCTTAATCTCTTGTTACAGGGTCTGCTTTGAAATCTAGTTTGTCTGATTTCAGTAGGACTACTCTAGCTTTCTTTTGATATCTGGTGGTGTGATTGAGGGGTCTCAAGCACCTCACTTTAGATTCATCTTATTTTTTATCCATTTGATACCCTATGTCTTTTGATTGAATGAATGGACTAAATGCCCCAGAGTGATTATTACAAGATATGGATTTAGGGTAATTGTTTTACCTGTAGATTTCATGTTTGTTGTCATGTCTCTGGTCCTTTATAACCTTTGCTGCTTTTCAGAGTCCCCCTTAGTATCTTTTGCAGGGCTGTTTTAGTGGTTATGAACCCCTTTAGTTGTTGTTTATCTGGCAAAGTCTTTACCTCTGCTTCTATTCTGAATGACAGCCTCACTGGATAAAAGAATCCTGGCTGCATATTTTTCCTCTTCAGCACATTGGCTATTTCCTGCCACTTCCTTCTGGCCTGCCAAGTTTCAGTGGACAGGTCCGCTACTATGTGTCTACTATTGTAGGTTAAGGAAGGTTTGTCCCTAGCTCCTTTCAGAATTCTCTTTATCTTTGTATTTTGCCAGTTTCACTATGATAGTCATGGTGATGACCTGTTTTTATTGATTTTGAAGGGAGTTCTCTGTGCCTCTTGGAGGTGGGTGTCTGTTTCCTTCCCCAGATTAGGGAAGTTCTCAGCTATAATTTGTTCAAATAAATCTTCTCCCCATCTCTCAAACGGTTCTTCTGGGTCTCCTATGATACAGATATTGTTTCATTTCATGGCATTACTTAGTTCTCTAATTCTCCCCTAGTGATCTACTAATTTCTTTTCAGTTTTTTTCAGCTTCATTTTCAGTAACATTATCTTCTATTTCACCTATTCTCTACTCTCCTTCTTCCATCCTTGCTGTTACTTCATCTAGTTTTACATCTCAGTGATAGCATTTAATTTATCCTGACTAGTTCTTATGTCTTTCATCTTTGTAGCAAGAGTTTCTCTGGTGTCTTCTATGTTTTTTTTACAAGCCCAGTTATTAGTTTTATGACTGTTATAACCAATACATCTGAACAATAATTTAGAATATCTGTTTTGAGCAATTTTCTGGCTGTGATTTATTCTTGACCTTTCTTTTGAGGGAGAATTCCTCCATTTTGCCATTTTGGCTAAGCTTCTGTCTTTTGCATGCTTTAGCTTGTTATGTGCTCTGTACCTGGGAGTACTTCTATATTAAAAATGGGTCATGGCTGCAGCATCTTCTTACTCAAGCCCATGTCTCCAGAGGCAAGGGAAACAAAAGCAAAAATTAACTACTGGGACCTCATCAAAATAAAAAGCTTCTGTACAGCAAAGGAAAAAATCAGCAAAACTAAAAGGCAACCAAATGGGAGAAGATATTTGCAAATGACATATCAGATAAAGGGTTAGTATCCAACATCTATAAAGAACTTCTCAAACTCAACACCCAAACAACAAATAACCAGTGAAGAAATGGGCAAAAGACATGAATAGGCACTTCTCAAAAGACATCCAGGGGCGCCTGGGTGGCGCAGTCGGTTAAGCGTCCGACTTCAGCCAGGTCACGATCTCGCGGTCCGTGAGTTCGAGCCCCGCGTCAGGCTCTGGGCTGATGGCTCAGAGCCTGGAGCCTGTTTCCAATTCTGTGTCTCCCTCTCTCTCTGCCCCCTCCCACATTCATGCTCTGTCTCTCTCTGTCCCAAAAAGGAGTAAACGTTGGGAAAAAAAAATTAAAAAAAAAAAAGACATCCAGATGGCCAACCAACACATGAAAAAATACTCAACATTACTCATCATCAGGGAAATACACATCAAAACCACAATGAGATACCACCTCACACCTATCAGAAGGGCTACAATTAACAACTCAGGCAACAAAAGATGTTGGCAATGGATGCAGAGAAAGAGGATCTCTTTTGCATTGCTGGTGGGAATGCAAACTGGTGCAGCCACCCTGGGAAACAGTATAGAGATTCCTCAAAAAATCAAAAATAGATTACTCTACGACCCAGGAATTGCACTACTAGGTATTTATCCGAGGGATACAGGTGTGCTGTTTCAAAGGGACATATGCACCCCAATGTTTATAGCAGCACTATCAATAGCCAAAGTATGGAAAAAGCCCAAATGTCCATCAATGGATGAATGGATAAAAAAGATGTGGTATATGTACAATGGAGTATTACTCAGCAATCAAAATGAATGAAATCTTGCCATTTGCAACTCTGTGGATGGTACTGGAGGGTATTATGCTAAGCAAAATTAGTCAGAGAAAGATAAATATGACCTCACTCATGAGTACTTTAGGAGACAAAACAGATGAACATGAGGGAAGGGAAACAAAAATAATATAAAAACAGGGAGGACAAAACATAAGAGTCTTAAATATGGAGAACAAACAGAGGGCTACTGGAGGGGTTGTAGGAGGGGGATGGGCTAAATGGGTAAGGGGAATTAAGGAATCTACTCTTGAAATCATTGTCGCACTATATGCTAATTTGGATGTAAATTAAAAAAAATAAAATTTTAAAAAATGGGTCATACCCTGTCCAGCGCCTGGCACTTCTGCAAGTGTTTTTGATGTATGTGGCATGAACTCTGTTCTTGCATTTTGGCTGCTGTATCCCACTGGTCGGTCCTCTGCAGAACTCCTCCTTGCTTGTAGGGGCCCAGTGTTTGGACATTCACCCAGGTGTGCTTTGATTTGTTTTTTGATGTAACCCTGGGGGGAAAAAGGGAAAATGGGTGGGGGGTGGGGGAGGCTGATCCCACAAAAAGAGAAAAATGAAAGAAGAAAAAAGACCAAACCGAAAATCAGAAGAACTAGAAGGCTAAATGCAGAGAAAGAGAAAAATAGAGAAAAAGAGAAAAGATGGAAAAACAATAGAATAAAAATGCCTGGGGTGCCTCCATCAATTAAGTGTGACTTTCGCTCAGGTCATGATCTTGCAGTTCATGAGTTGGAGCCCCACGTCAGGCTCTGTGCCAATAGCTCAAAGCCTGGAGCCTGCTTTGGATTCTGTGCCAACCTCTCTTTCCGCCCCTTCCCTGCTCGTGCTCTCTCCCCCTTCTCTCAAAAATAAGTCATTAAAATTTTTTTAATATAAAAATGCCTTATCCAATATATAGTTTATGTGTAAAATTCTATAAATTTATAAAACAGGCAGAAAATCTCAAAGAATATGGTTGAACTGTATAGTACCATCAATAAACTAGACCTAAATGATATTTGCATTATATACCTAAGACTTTATTATATATAAAAGACTATGTGTGTGTACGTGTGTGTGTGTGTGTGTGTAAGAATTGACCAAAGACAAATCCAAAACTATGAGCCTGATTCCAAAAGAAAAAAAAAAAAGGGTGAAGAAAAAAATCAAAAAACAAAACAAAAACGGTTGTCTGTTGGTGCCTGGGCCCTGTGTCTGTGCGAGTCTGGAGGAGTCAGTCTCCCTCCAGTAGATGAGTAGTTGCCAGGCAAACAGGCCCAGGGTTTGGTGTAAATGGGTCCGCTTCCATTAGGGGCTGCTGCGCTGCTCTCTGAAGTTCCCACTGTGTGGGTGTCGGGGAGAAAAATGGCAACACCCCAATCTCTCCTCCCTGGAGTGGGTGTCTCCAAACTTGCTGTTCAGGCAGCCCTCACAGAAGAGTGAGGGCTGTCAGCTTGCTTTGCTTCACAGTTCTCCTGCACCTTCTCGGTGCTCAGCTGAGATTCAAAACTCTCTATCTTAAAGGCTCCCACACCATGCAGACCCTGTTCTGGAGTAGTGCCCCTCCATCCTGCTGATAAAAGGCCTTTGGCTGGTACCCGCAGGGTCTTTTGTCCTTGGGGCGGCATTAAATCTCTTCTCAAAGTACTCCAGGAAGGGGACTTGTCTCTCCCAGTGCACCCCTGAGATCGCTACACCACACTATGCATTCCAGGGCCAGCTCCTCCCTCCTCAGGAACATGTACCAGGGCCCCTGGCTTCACTCAGAAGGTCTCACACTTCTAAACCTCCGAGTTTCAGCTCCTACGGCTATTTGCAAAGAAGAAACTGGCACTTTCTGTATTTCTTGTTCCTCAGTCCATGGTCCAGAGTGGTTTTCCTCTTGTGCTAACTCGATGTTGCACTTTTACAACCCTCTTTCTCTCCCTTTTGTCTCTGCGCAGAAAGGGTCCCTCCTCCCCTCTGTGCCTATGCTATTCTATCTCTCCCAATTCATATACACGAACCTCAATCCTGCCAAGTTTCCTCCTTCCAACCGTGGAGATCCTTCTGTCACTCTGCAGATTGATTTCCTGGGTGTTTCAGGTGATCTGACCTCAGTACAGCTGTGATGGAGGGATGAGGAAAATCCCGGTCCACCTACTTCTCTGCCATCTTAACTCTCTCAACAGAGTGAATTTTTTTTTTAAAGACTCAAAAAAAAAAAAAAATCACTTGAAAACTGAAAAACTCCCAAACTGTTTGGAGATTACACACATTTTAAATAATTCAGAGGTCAAAAGAAGTCTTAAGCATTTTTTTGAAAATATTTTGAACTAAATTAAAGTGAAAATATATCACAACAATATGTAGGATACAGCAAAGCAGTACTTAGTGGAAAGTTTGTAGCACTGGATATGTAGAAGAGAAGAAATGTCTAAAAGCAATAATCTAGGCTTCCATCTTGAGAAGCTATCCAAAGAACATCCATTTAAACCTGAAGCTGAAAAGTTACATAAAAAGCAGAAATCAATGAAATTGCAAACAAGAAATCAGAAAAACAACAATTGCAAGCTGATTCTTTAAAAAAGTCAATGAAGTGGATAACCCTCTACCCATGCTAACAAAAAAATACAGAAAATACCAATTATCAGAAATGAAAGAGGTCATCACTACTGAATCCATGGGCATTAAAAGAAATTATCAACTCTAATTTGATAACTTAGGTGAAATGGACCAATCCTTGATATTCACCAACTATAGAAACTCACAAGTAGATAATACTATTCTTATGCCTATCAAATAAATTGAATCAATGCTTAATAATCTTTCTGAATTCTCATGGGTTCACTGGTGAATTATACCAAATATTAAAAAAGAAATTATACCAATTCTCTACGCTATCTTGTAGAAAACAGAAGCCATAATTACGCTAATACCAAAACCAGAAAAAGAATTACAAACAACCAGACCATGAGCACAGATGTAAAATCTTCAATAAATTAGAGTCCATAATTTATAGAAGAATTATACACAATGACTACATAGGATTTATTTCAGGTATTCAAGGAAAGTTCAACATTCAAAAATAGATTAATGTAATTCACTCTATTAGCTAAAGAAAAGAAATCTTATGAATTCATCAGTGCGGAGAAAGCATTTAACAAAATTCAACACTCATCCATGATAAAAAGTATCAAACTAGAAATGTAGGGGGGTGGGATTTCCTCAACTTAATCAAGAGTACCTACTAAAAACTTATTTTCAATAATGAAAAATTGACTATTTTTCTCCTAACATTGGGAATGATGTAAGAACATACCACCTTACCACACTTAGTCAACATCATACTGGAAGACCCAGGTAGTACAAGAAGACAATAAAAGTAAGATGCGTACAGATTGCGAAGGAAGTACAAACACTACTTTTGTTCACATGTAGTATTATCATCTACGTGGAAACACCAAAGAGTTGACAAAATCTCTTGGCACTCATAAGCAATTATAGCAAGGTCACAGGATAAAAGATTAACATACAAATTTGGTCGTTTCCATGTTTACTATGGGTAATTTTGAAATAAAGATACCACATATATTAGCTTCCCATATATGAAATCCTTAAGGAATAAATGTAGTACCTACATGAGGTTAACACTGATGAAATAAAGATTTAAATTAAGAAATATTTCATGGCAATGGATTGGAAGACTCATGATTGTTGTAATACCTATTCTTCACAAATTTGTCTATGTATTTAATACAATCTGAACCAAATTCTCAGCAAGCTATTTTGTGGATATTGACACATGGATTATAAAATTTACTTGGAAAGGCAAAAGACCAAGAATAGCCAACACAATGCTGAAGAACAATGAAGTTTGAAAACTGACATGATCTGAAGATTTATCTGATCTGTACTCTAATGAGGGCATCTCAGCATTGTCAAAATAGGTACAGTTTTTTTTTTTAAGTAGACACATAGGACAATGGAAAAATATAGACGGTTCAGAAATAGACCTACATAGATATAGTCAACTGGTTTTTGCCAAGACAAACCAATAATCTTTTCTACAAATGATACTAGAAATGTTGTATATGCATATTCAAGGGAAAGAAGTCAATCCAGACTCATACTTTACCTATTTCACCAAAGTTTACTCAAAATTAATTGGTGAATGGTTGCCAGGGATTCAGGCCAAGTGGGAAGTAGGTGAAGGGATTTATAAAGCCAAGTATTCTGATACTATATGATAAATACATCACATTATTGCCAAAACCCATAGAACCTTCCAACCCCCAAAAGTGAACCTTAGAGTATTTAAGTATTTAAATAATTTGAAGGTGGAGGTATTCCAGAAAAAAACGCAGACCGTGATCAGAGAATATAACTGTAAAAAAAACCTCTCCTGGAGGTGGTGGGGAAAACAGTGCTAACCTAAGTAACTCGGAAATAAGTTAAGACTAAAAGGCAAGTAACTACACATGAGTACTAAGCTGGAGTTGATAACATTTTCAACTGGGACAAGGGGTTAACAATTCTGATACTGCTATTCATATATAGTCAAACTGAACAATTCAATAATTACCAAATGGTGGGAGCCATTTTTCTCACCTTTGGAGTGAGAACCTACAGATAACCAGGAGGAGGGGACTAGAATAATTTATGTGGTAATAAGTAAGAGTTCAAACAGTAACCAGGAGGAGGGGACTAGAATAATTTATGTGGTAATAAGTAAGAGTTCAAACAGTAAGAGCTCATGTTTAAGTCAAATCCAAACCTTGATTTCTAGCACCATTAAAAAGAACCAGGGGTTCTTAGAGAAATGCTGATTCTAGAACTGGGGTGGGAATTAGGAAGTATACAGGATGAGACTGGAATATCTTACAGTAACAGAAAGTAAGGAATTCTAAGAACAAAAACAAAATAAGCCCACAATACACATTAGTGAGGTATTTCAAAGGTACACAGGAACCAACTGAAAGGGCTGTCATTGGCCAAATCTGGAGCCATTTGGCTGAGAATAGTATGGGAGTATTAGATTAGGACCCAAAATATAAGTATCCTCAAATCTAGACTAGTAAGTAGTTAAATAAATTCATAGATGGAGACAAATATCCAATGGAGAATTCCAAAGAAAGTATGTGGATACTCTAAAGAGGCGTAACAAAAATCCCCACTTTTTAAATGTGAGTTGTGCATAGTTACTTCTATCCAAAGAGTCTAGTATGGAAGGGGTGGGTGGGGGGTGGGGGGAATTGGAGATTAACTTGAAAGTGGGAAAAATTTTATAAGCACAAGTTCAGCCAGGTAATTAAGGTCAACAACAGCTATAAGTCACATTAATCATATACTCTTGAAATTATGTGATGAGATAGAAGCTTATCTGTGATTTTCCCCAAAATTCACGATGCCAGCATAATAAATTTCAATAGACATCTATAATATTGGTTTATTCCAAACAAGGAAAGTCTGCAAAACTGTTACAGCCAAGAGGAGCCTAAGACATGCCTATTAAATGTAATGTAGTATCCTGGATGAATTCCTGGAACACAAAAGGACATTAGATAAAAACTAAGGAAATCTTAATAAAGCATGAACTTTTACTACTACTAATGCATGAATATTAGCTAATTGTGAGAAAACTACCATGATCATCACAAAAGATAGTATTAGAGTAAATTGTATAGGGGTATATTTGGGAACTCTACTGTCTGTTCAGTGTTTCTGTGAATCTAAAACCTTCTAAAAATACAATAAAACATTTTCTGCATTAAGAAAATTACTTCCATAGAATATTCTGGCTACCGAAATGGTCCTAACAGTTACAAAGACATCCAGTTTTAGGTCACCTATTGTACTATATAAACTCCATTTGTTCAGAAAATTATTAACGTCCACACCTCTTTGGAGCAGTAGCCCATGGTCTAGTAACTCTGGACATCAAAGCAAGATGTGAGACTGATCTGAAGGAGATCCTTTTGCTTTGTTAAGATCTTGGCTGGGGATGAGGAATGGTGGGGGGGGGGGGGGGGGGGGAGGGTTATACCTCCATCACTAACACTAGAGAGTCCTGGAATAGCTGATTAATTTTCACCAGGATTATTTTAATGTAACCGTGTCTCATAGCAATAATGCACTAATAACAAAGTATCATCTGGACTTTTCAGGTTTGACTATCAGTGACCTCCACAACAAGTATTTACTTCTTTGCTCATGTTGTGTATTAACAGCTATGGAACAGCTATGGTACCTCTGTTCTGGGCTTGGGTTGAACCTATTATATGGGTCT